GAGGTAAGCCGGCCCTGAACCCGTTTATTTACGGGTTCAAATGGGCATATTTATGGGCCGAGCCTAAATGCCAGTTTGAAATTTTTTACGTGAAAAAATCGCTTTTGACCGACTGTTCGGTTGAACTCATATATGCCTTTATGGGGAAAGAGGCTACGCCGAATATCGGATCCTTTTTCGGGAGGTAAACCGTTGACAATTTATGATTGGTTGAATGGGAAATTTTTGGATTTTACCCACGGATCAGAGAATTAAATCAGTAAAAAACTTTAGTCACATGTTGAAATTATTTTTGGAAACTGAATATTAAACAAGTCTTGAACGACATATTTATACGGGTTCAATATATATATTTTAAAGGCCGAGCCTACGGGCTCGGAAAACCCCACAATAAAAACCGACCTTTTGTCACATGATGAGTTAAATGGGGTGCGGTGATTGAATATCGTCAGTCGCTCAAGTAATGACCGGCTGTTCGGTTGAATTCTCTATTCTTTCGGGTGGGGAGGAACCCGAACGAGACTACGCCGAAGGGCGGATTCTCTTCGGGGAGGGTTGACCCTGAACCCGTTTATACGGGTTCAATGGGCATATTTTGGCAGAGCCCACGGGCTCGGGAGATCCCTGAACGTCAAAAAAGGCCTTGTGCCACACGACGCCCTCGGGGTGGGTGTGAGTGGATATCGTCAGTAGTTCAAGTCGAGTCAAGAGTCGAGTCAGAGGCAGTCCGAAACAGAGTCGCGTTCAGACAATTACTGCAAGACATTGGAATAGTGATACTGGTCGAGACTACATTGTTCTCTCTACTAAACCTGATTGTTCATACTAACACTTCTACTTCTCTGTATATATTACTGTTTGTAATATATCTGTGTTATTCCATACCTGTGTGCGAGTTCTTCTTTATTGGTTCTACCTTGGACTATCACCGTGGTCCAAGGAACCGGACCATAACACAGTATAAGGTAAGCTTAAATATTAATGTAATATTTAAATACAGCGACCATTTTTTTAGTTCTTCTGTAGTTTCTTGTTGCCTATCGCATACGGCAGTAGTATGCCTCGCAAAAAGAATTCTCCACCAACAGAAGACCAGATTGCGATCCAAAGAACTAAGGCTGCAGCGAGGAAAAGAAAGTTCCATGTAGATGAGAATCTAGATAAAACGGCAACCAGGAGACCTTCCAATGCTGAGAATATGTAAAGACATAAGGACCCTCAAATTCCTGAACAAGTCGAAGGCCCAATCAAGAGGCCTCCACAGGAGATAGGTTTAATGCAGGTTCTGTGATAAATATCAAGAAACGATAGACCATCTCAGGATGTTCTGTACTTGCGCCAAATGAATTTTAAAAATCGTCACGATAGAGTGGGACAATATTTACCGAGGGCAATATGCAAGCTTTTTGGAAAAGATGTTAATAAACATTGGTATGATAATCACTTTGAATCGGTTACAGAAATAGACGACATTACATCACAATTCTATGGGATTACACTATCTTTACAGACAGGGAGATTGAAGAAAATTGACCGGACATAATTGTCAAAATCTGAAAAGAAAAAAAAAAAACTTGCCTACTAATTGATATGGCTGGCCCAGCGGGTCTGTATCATAAGAATCAAGCGATTCGAAAAACTATCAAAGTGTAAATATCGAGAAATCGAAATAGAACAAAATAGAAGGGGCACTTGGAATGAGAAAAAAATCATGAACAATACATACAAAAATAAACGTCGTGAATATGGACAAAGACGATTAAAATAACACCTTCACTGTAAATTTGTAAATTGCTTTTTGTTGGTAGAGAAAATGATTTAATGCCTCAGGCACCGGTTGAACGTTGGGCAAACATATTGGATGTTTTTTACCTCAAGAGATCAAAAAAAAAGAGCATAGCATGAGGAAAAAGACGCCAAACTTGACGAAAACAAAATTTTATCGTCTAAATGGTTATATTATTATTAAGAGGAAAGATCAAAGTATTTTGGGGGGATTTTTTTTTATTTTTTAATCGTTCCGAGCACGTTCGAAATTTTCGTTAAAAATCTTGTTTTTTTTTTGAGTCAGCTAAATTGACAGGTAATCGATCATGGCAACCCTTTTTTTTCATTTTATAAAAAATGAAAATCTCAATTTGAAATTCTTTTAAATATCAATTATCATTTCTTTAAAACTTATTTTAAGAAAATCAGAAATTATAATGTTTATTTAAAATATTTTGAACCAAGCTTAACTTCTGCGCCGAAAAGATGTAATTGGAAAATAAAACAAAGCCGGTCATAAACTTTCGCGTCACTTGACAGGTGATGAATGACATATTGACAGATTCCGTGAGGATAATTTGTTCTACGGAAGGAGAAAAGTGAAATTATTTACATTTAAGTGAACAAATTATTTACCTCGTTATTTTAAAGGAAAACTTTCAGCACTTTAATTTTTTTTTTGTTTTTTGTACTTAGCTTTCACCTTTACGTTTACGATGCTTTATGGAAAATATATTATAAAGAAATTAAAATAAGACTGTTAAGAGTGAGATTAAATTGCATATTTCATAAGAAAGGTGTCTAATTAATTTATAGATACCTTTCTTATGAAATTTTATCAGAAGTGTACATAAAATACTATAATTTTGTGTACATTTATTACATTTTACTGTGTTATTTATTTATTATTAATTTTGATATTTCATTTATGGAAAAATGTCATAACTGAGATTAATATAAAAATAAGATCATATAAATTTCATAAGATGATACTGATACTTGTAGGTACCCTTCTCAGTTGAAATTGAAAAATCAAATTAACTCCTCCGCACGTGTTTCGCAAAAGTAAATGCCTTAATATCGGAGAACAATGCTTAACTCAAATAACGCAACTTAATTATATTCTGGTTGGTCTTCCGTACTTTATAATTACAGCCCGATTATAAACACAAAATTACATTTCTTAATTACTGCGGTTCTTTTGATTAGTCGAAAATGATACAATTTACAACGCGCTAAAAAAAAGATCTATCTCATAAGGACACTTACGAAAGTGGATGCGGCTTTTTAACTAATTTTATAATATTTTAACAACTTTAATTGCAAAAAATCTATTATAATTAAAGAAATAACAAATAATTGTATTTAAAATTCATTTTTCATCGAAAAATTTTTTTTTTTTCAGAAAATATTATTCTATATTCATAAAACAACTAAAAAGCAAATAAAAGCATTTGAAATTAAATAATATCTTTGTTTTATTGAGTTTTGTATGTTACAATTCAGAGCTGATTTTCAGGTAGGGAAGGGTCCAAAAAAAAAAAAAAAAAAAAAAAACATGATTTGCATTCCTCAAAGCCTTGTGCTTTTTTAGCTATTGTAATCACTAAACCCGACGCGATGGAATTTCTAGTTTTCATTCATTAGTTATGGGGCGGGGTAATAAACATTAAAAAAATATTTCTGCCATGACTTTAATAAAAAAAAAAATATTTATAATAATTTCGATCATGTGTGAATAGTTTCTGAAAGTTTCATTAACATCCGACAATTATTTCTATTTTTGCAGAATTTTCCAAATTAATGTGTGTCATACAAAAAAAAAAAAAAAAAAAAAATGCTAAAAATTGTCTGTTATTTTACTAGTTCTGGTAATACAAAGAGAAACAAGGATTTTTAAATCGAAATTTAGAATGTTCTAAAAAGAAAGAAATTTTTTTTTAAACTAATTAAAAAACACTTTGATCTTTCCTCTTAATAATAACAAGAAAATATTAGACCGTAAAATTTTGTTTTCCTCAAATTTGGCGTCTTTTTCATCAAGCTATACTCTTTTTTTTTTTAGCGATCTCATGGCGGTACCTATAACTACTTTTATAGCTACCGTGAAACATTACATAGTAATTATTTGCGAATTTTGTCTGAGGAGTTGAGGCAGAAGGGTGAAAATTATTCAGGAACGCCCGCCTCAAAGGGTTAAGAGAAATATTTAAAAAAAAATTGTCTTCATTAGTACAACTAACAATAAGAAAAAAAACTTTGGGCATGTAACGCTAGTGATGTTATGGAAGTTGGAAAAACAAATCATGAAATGTAGCTATGACAAGAAACCACTAGCTGCCTTAGGCCTCCCCGCAGACTCGGTAAGTGGTGTGACTCTAGCAGAAATCGAAATAATAATAATAATAGTAACAATAATAATAATAATAATAATAATAATAGTTATTTTCTTTCTTGGCTGATATTCAAAAACATCTGCACATGTTTTTGCATCGCTCCTTAAAAAAAAACTGTAGTCTCAAATATTCAGACGACAGAGAATTTAATTAATCTTCCAATTTCCACCGCCATAAGCTTATTTTGCTTCATCTGCCACCATAAGAAAAACAAAAACTTTACTCTGAGATTTTTAAAGAGCTATAATTGATTGAACGATTTTTTTTTTTTCGTTTCTAAGCAAACTAAAATTTGTACTAGTTTAATTTAACCCGGTAGATAAAACCAAGAATTTAGTCCGAAATTCCAAATAAAAGTTTCCAGGATTAGACACCTGAAGAAAGCCGGAGAACAAAACAGTCGAAGCGTTCTGGAAATAACAACAATGATTAGGAGTTTAGTGCGAATCAAAACGGAACAAAATCCATTAGTTATGAGGTACTGACATACCAATACCTCATAAATACGAGGTATTTACTCAGTCTCCCCGCTAAGACGAGTCGTGACACAGGTCTTTTTTAAGGTGGGGCAAGGAATAAAAATTGCCCGCAGTTGACGCAGCCGTCAGTTGCGCTGGCCTCAGTGGGAGCAACAATCCTTCTCTCTGGTGCAATAAGAGGGCAAGGCCTCAGGCAGCTGTTCCCCGGGTCTAGGCACCTCTCAGTATAATGTTTATACGGGTTCAAAGGGTATATTTTGGGCCGAGGAACCCGGACGAGACTATGCCGAAGGGTAGAGTTTCACCCGGGGAGGTAGACAGACCCAATCCCGTTTATGCGGGGTGTACGGGGAGTATAGATGAAACACCAGTTCCCGTACGACCACCGCAGTTAAGCAACGTAAAACCATGTCAGTACCTAGATGGGTGACCGCTTGGGAATATCAGGTGCTGTAAACTTAAATGTGCAGGTAGTTTAATGGAGCGCCGAGTTCCAATTCCAGTCGGGTTCATTTATATTTATTTGCGAACAAATACCCTTGAGAAAGATATGAATTCATCTCTTCTGTCCCCGCAAAGATCACCCCAAGTTCCTGTTTTGGTCACCAGCATTGTCCTGCTAAGCGTATTCTGCGTTCACGTAACTACTGGGTTCTATTTCTACTATTTGTTCCACAATTGTGACTTTGTATCAAATTAAGCAAAAATTAGTATATAACAAATCAATATTCTGCTGTCGATAAGGGGTCCGATCTATTCAGAGAGATGGTAGCACCTCATGCGAACATTGTCGCATATAGAAAAGCATCTAAGAAAAAAAAAGAAGTTTGGCCACGTTTCCTGTCCTCCTTTAATTCACATTGGGTTGGTCACGACGGAAGAACTCTACGCCAGCTGTCGTACATATCACAATACTATTGTTTTGCCATATGGAGTGCCAGCCATATATGAACATTACAGAATGCACCAATTTATGTAACAAGCATGACAAGAGCTTACGAGCATATCATGAAATACACTTCTTCTCGTCCGATCAAAGATGTTAAGTAACATTAAGCTTTGTCAGTAATTAGATTAATGACCGCTTGAAATATCAAATGCCATTAACTTAAAACGGGTAGAGATTAGTAATTCACGGCGTGATGGTAATGTCTTCTTGGTGGTGCCCTTGAATCCTTGAGGGGACATTATGTATTCAGGGGCATGGTGAATCCATTACATTCACTTACGTGCTAATTATTTGGGAAAGGTATGAATCCTCTTCTTCCCCCCAGCTATGGGTAAATAGCAGGACAGACCGGTTCTATAGCCTTGAATGGCAATTGTTCAACCACAGAAAGAAATGGCAACCTACAGCGGGAAAACAATCTGCCTTGTCAGTCATGTATCGAAAAATACATGATCGCCTAAGCGTGTATTACGTATGGCACATAACTGACTGAAATTCACTTACGTGCTAGTCCCCTTGGGAAAGGTATGAATCTTCTTCTCCCCATAGCTATGGTTAAATAGCAGACAGACCGGGTTCTATAGACTTGGTTCTATAGCTTTCCGATTCCTCAATCCGAGCCGCTATGCCTCCGTTTAACTACCGGGTTCTATTATTGTGGGTGTTCCACAGTTGTGGCTTTTTATCAAATTAAGCTAAGTTTAGTATATAACAAATCAATGTTTTTATTGTCGATAACGAGGCCCGATCTATTCAGAGATGGGTAGCATCTCGTGCGAACATTTACACATCTTTACAGTACTTTTTTGCATTATGTAATATCAACCATATATGAACTTTGCAGAATGCCTTGCGTGAAGTGATATTTAACAAACTAATCTGATTGTTTTTTTTGTTTTGTTTTTTACTACTGGGTATTATTTATTATTCGGTCGAGTTAGCTCAGATATTCATGGATCTATCATATCAACCACCATGGTCCTGCATCAAGGTCGTAAGATCATTAGGGAGCCATTCTTTGTCATAACATAGTTGGTCAATGTGTGTGACCAGCCTGTCTTGCATCATGTCTAATCTACTGAAGGTAGACATGCTTATAGGTCCATTAGACAGTAAAAGAGCTGACATGGCTTTCATGAGAACTTAGAATGAAGAATTTCTCAATAAATTTGCTTATTGTCAGGTTGAGATTACAGCGATTAGAGAACCATCCTCTTGGGAGTCGGTTTCACAGAGCAGTGGTTCATGTGAAGAAGTTGCTCAATATGAACGCCAAAGAAATATGAAGAAAACGAGGGTAGTTTGCAACAATGGGTGTGGCATGGCAGGTCTTAGTGATGAGGAAAGAATTGGTGAAACTAAGGAATATAGTTCACCTGAGTACTTTCCATGGAAATAATGATAGAACAGTGAGAGGTTTGCAATGTCTCATCTCTGAAAAAGAGTTTATAGGATGGAAAATAATTTGTCACCCACAAGGATGCAGAGATTATTTTGGACTATTGAAACTGGGAAGTGATGATTGGACAGTTCCTGCCCATATTTCTTGAAAAATGAAATATAATGAAGGTAGACATGCTTATAGGTCCATTAGACAACAAAAAGAGCTGAAATGGTTTTCATGAGAACTTAGAATGAAAGAGTTTCTCAATAAATTTGCTTATTGTCTTTTACCTTGCCAAATATCAGATAATATTGAGATATCTTTCAATTCTTAAAATAGTACATGGTTCAATCTCTATTTTAAGATCATCAATGACAGAGTGGTATAAATATTAAACATACTATTATTATTTTTATTCGATCAAGCTTTAACTCAGACATTCATGAGTCTATCATGCCAACCAGTAGATCATTTTCTTTCTCAGCAGTGTCATGCAAAGTGCATACTATGTTCACATAAGATTGTAGAAATATCAACGATGAGTCCATAAAACTGTGATTTGGTTGGATGATGTCTCCAAGAGATGTTAAGTATAGCTCTCAACATCTGAGTGTAGGTTCCGTAAAACAAACCCAAGCAAAGCCTCGCGTAAAGTGATATTTAACAAACTAATCTGATTGTTTGTTTTACTACTGGGTATTATTTATTATTCGGTCAAGTTAGCTAAGATATTCATGGATCTTTCATGCCATAAGTCATGGCCCTGCATCAAGGTCGGAAGGTGATTAGGGTGGCATTCTTTGTCCTAATATAGCAGATCAATGTGTGTGACCAGCCTGTCTTGCATCATATCTACTTGTCAGCCTATGGACTTTTCATCCCACCCTTGTATATAGAAATTTTAGAGAGGCGAGTAAACTTCTATGACAACTTTTTTTCTATTCCAACAACAGATATTTGGTTAGTAATAATAAACTCCCTTGGGATACACCGGGTATGGCTCTCATGGCTTCTAATCTTTCTTACAAGCCTGGTTATTAACCTAGATGAATACACCAGGTGCTCTAAGCGTGGATGTGCGGGCGGTGTGATGGATAACGGCTCGGACTTGTAGATAGGAGAGCCGAGTTCCAATTCCAGTCGGGTTCGTTAAATTTACTTACGAACAAATACCCATTGCAAAGATATAAATACACCTGTTTCCCCCCAGATATGGATTAATTAGTAAGACGTTTGTCACTAAACCATTATCATCTTTCAAAATAAAATGAAATTGTGTATAAAAATGTTTAGATTTCGGCATTAAATAACCCATAGAGGTGTCGATATGCTGCTAAAGAAACCCAACCAACCAATCTGATTGGCGACAAATTCCCATAGTTTTAAAGTTGAAATGGCTAGATGTGACCGTAAGTTCTATGTTAACAGTGTCTTCTATCGTGGAACTCTCTTCCGGCTTCTTGCTTCATCGTCAATCTTGATCTTCAAAAATATAAATCCAATTTAAATCCAGATTAACTTCTGCCTTCTTAATTCTTGACCTTTTCTTCTTTGTCCTCAAAAGTGTTTTATTTTTATCATATTCTCTAACATTCAGTAGCTCCATTTCATCTTAGTGGCTTTATTGCCTTACTTGGGGTGAAATAATTAAAAAAAATAGAAGTTAAATTATGATTGAGACACATTTCCTAGTTTAATATTGATGGAACGGACGCGGGACAATATTGGACTATGATCCGGTTAAAAAATTCAACATACACGCAAGGCTCAAAACATCCAAAGATCATGATCCTTATGGACGCCATTGTTCGAAAAGAAACAGATGAAGAATATTGAGAATGTCTGTCAGCTTTTGAGAAAAAGAATATGTATAATCAAATCTGTCGAATGTCCTCATCTTTGTTGTGATAGTCACAGCGTTGATAGCCGTTGTATGGCCTCTGGAAACTTCGAACTGAACGGAGTATGATTGCTCTCATTCCATTGCCTATGCTTAGGGGATAGCGCACATCAGGTAATTATTCCTGGCTAATTAATTCTAGCGTTTTCGGTTTAAATTTAAGACTTCGGAATTCCACCGTGATTGTCCCCGGGGGATAAATACCTTGTGGATCTAAACTTTGGGTAAGAGAAACAATCGTTCTTCTGGTTGAGTTATTTCCAGAGCGTTTTGAAATAAGCTTCCTCGGAAGTTTCACTCCTCTTATAGACGCCTAGCAAAGGAAGAAACGGATATTTTTAACAGCATATTCAAAAAAAAAAAAAACGAAAAAATCTGGCGAAATATCTAAATAAATAAAGGTTACACTTTTCTTATTTCATTGGCACGGTGACACTAGTCCGTTGCACAGTCAATTCTTCAGCATCGATGCGGCAATTTAATAAAACATTTCTTTCCTTTTTTCTTTTTTTTTTTTTTTTTTTGAGTGCATCTGTTGAGCTGAAAATATTTCCAGACCTCCAAGACGCATGAGTTTACGCTTGGATTGAAGTTGCATGTGAGCAGGGAGAAATTGGTAAAAATAACGCTTTAGTGATTCCGCGAAATGCATCTTTGTTATTATGGTGCAGGTCCTTGTACCACGGTGATAGTCCAAGGTAGAAACAATAAAGAAGAACTCGAACACGGATATGGAATAACATAGATATATTATAAACAGGAATATATACAGAGAAGTAGAAGTGTTAGTACGAACAATCAGGTTTAGTAGAGAGAACAATGTAGTCTCTACCAGTATCACTATTCCAATGTCTTGCAGTAATTGTCGGAACGCGACTCTGTTTCGGACTGCTTCTGACTCGACTCTTGACTCGACTGACTGACTCGCTCTGACTGACTTACAGACTCCTGACGGACTTCTGACGGACCTCACTCCAGACTTCAGTCTGAACGGTATTTACCTCCCGGAAAGAGACTCCGCCCTTCGGCGTAGCCTCGTTCGGGTTCCTCCCCGTTCGAAGGAAGAGAGTTCAACCGATCAGCCGGTCGCCCGACTTCAGGTTGAACAGTATTTAGTCACCCGCCCACGAGGGCATCATGTGGCACAAGGCCGGTTTAACGTGGGATCTCCGAGCCCGTGGGCACAGCCAAAAATATGCCTTTTGAACCCATATAAACGGGTT